GCTTAACGACTGAGCCACCCAGGCGCCCCTGTTTATTTTTTCTTGATAAGATTATGAGGATTTATTGACTTATCTCTCACAAAGGCTTTGTGTTGTTGTTATTCTGTTTTACTTTCTGCCTATATGCGTACCACACTGTACTCTGTTCACTGTATTTCAAGGAAAGAAAGCTGTCTGATTGTCTCCTGGCTGTGTTCCGTGAGAGTGGAATAGGCATGGTGATAGAACTGAAAGGCTAGAGTAGGAGCACACTTTATCCCCGCACTGATTACCTGAGTATCTGTGCATTATGTACTTCACAAAGTCGTGGGGACTGATAGAGTGCAGAGATACAATGAAAGAAAAACTGGTAAGAGTGAAAGGACAACATGCAAGTAATGAAAAGCTTCCCCCATTGCAGAGTGTGAGCCCACCAGGTTTCCCCCGCTACGGGGTGTGGGCCCCCCTTGGGCAGCGCTCTTTGCTAGTTTTGTTCACTGCTGGTATCTGAATGCCTTGATACATTCCAAGCACCTGCTTGGGGCTTAAGAGATACTTGTTGAACTAATGAATAGATGGCCTGCGCGAAGTTGTAATGCATGCAGCTGAGGTTCTCTGTGGCAGAGTCCTCAAGTTGTGACAAGACAAAGGAGGCCAGCTGGAGGCCAGCTGTTGAGCTCTTCATAAGCCGTGTATCTTTTATAGGCCCAGTTTGAGGGAGGAGCATAAATAATGATGTTACTGATCTTCACCTGAAGCTAGAAGCAACCTTCTGTTGTATCTGAATTCAAGGGTTAGCATTTTGGGGCATATGTCTACATTGTAATAGTTAGATCTAGAATTGTCGGAGCCAGCACTTGTTCCCAAGTGTATGGGGAGGTTTGTGAACAGTCTGAGGAGCTGGGTTTGGTCTTGGTGTCGTGGGGCACTGGCAGTTGGGACAAAGGGCTCAAATGAGGAGGGTTTCCTCTCCTGGACAGAATCCCCAAATCAGAATCTTCTGAGAGATGAGGGGACAATAGAATCTATTTCTAGGTCATGTGGGGTGTAGAAAGTAATAAAATGTCTATAGTTATGGCTATGGATGTTTTATATTTAGATTCTTGTTAGGGATGTTTGTCCACTTTTAGAGTTTCTGATGGCTTCATTCACCGCTAAATGTAATTTTTTTCCAGGCTGTTGTTCATGAATCTGAAGGATTATTGGGGTATATTTACTGTGATTTCTTCCAGCGAGCAGACAAACCACATCAGGTGATGCTTTATGTGACTTTATGTGACTCAATGTTTCCAAGACTCAGTTTCAGTTTCCCCATCTGAACAATGAGAGAGCTGCCTCAGGGGTTATTGTGAAGAATAAGTGATACAATGTATGAGAATCTCAGCCTGTTAGAGAAAGTCACTCCAAATTCCTCCCTTTGTGATAGAGTTCATTGCTTCTGAGTGATAAAGACAATAGATGTGAGAAGTGTCTCCCACTTCATTGCCCAACACAGAAGGGGTCCAGTAAACATTAGTGTCCCTCCCCACAGTAGCTCAGTGTCTGTCCCCTTCCCACTTACTTGTGTACATTTGAGCATGTGGATCTAAGCTGGCATAGCATCACCTCAATACGTATTTTTGGAGTGAATGAATGAATGAATCAACACAAGCACAAGGTAGTACAGGTGTTTTAAAAAACTTAAAATTTTAGCAAAATAAAAAATGTTAGGAAAAAGTGTCTATAACTAGATAGAAGAATAGAGTTAAGGTAAATTTGAACTGAGACGTCTTGGTGTAATTTTATATTCATTAAGACTATTTTATTCTTCAGGTCACCTAATACTTTCTTCTCCGGTTATGTTTTCTGATTCTTCCAGGATTGTCATTTTACAATCCGTGGAGGCAGGTTAAAAGAAGATGGAGACTATCAGCTCCCAGTTGTAGTTCTTATGCTGAATCTTCCCCATTCCTCAAGGAATTCACCAACTTTATTAACTCCTGGAATGATGGAAAATCTCTTCCATGAAATGGGACATGCCATGCATTCTATGCTGGGACGTACTCGTTACCAACACGTCACTGGTGAGCCACGAAGAGAGGACTTCTGTTTAACAACCATCTTTTAAAAACATGTGTTTTATTTTCAATTGGAACAAAAAGCTCTTTATTTAGAAAATCTTATCTTTTAACATTGTCAGGTGGTCATTTATTGCAAGTTGCCTCCCCTTGTCCTTCTAGTTGTTATGCAGCCTGATCATCTGACATTTTTCTGCTTCCTTGCTAACAGTTCTGACTGAGGACTGTCTCACTTGTCTTCTGAGTTTGCACTTTTACATTTTATCATATTTTATATGGAATTGAAGTTTTTGGCTTCAACTTTTTCTTTTCCCCCCATTTTAGGGACCAGGTGCCCTACTGACATAGTGAGTAAGTGAAAGAATATTGCCTCTTTTTCTCCAAAATCAGTTAGAATACATATTAAGGCATGTTGAAAAATATTTTCCTATTCTTTCCCCCTGTTTAAAATGACAGTCTTTCATGCTGGTATGTGGCCATATTTGATGATATTATATTGTAGACTTTCTTCTTAGTTGTCTCATCTCTGAGTCTTAAGCTCACTATCCTATATGGTCAGCTTTAAGACCACCTGCTACATTGCTTTCATTTAGTGATTTATTAACTAACTTTGTATAATAGTATTTTGAGGGAGAAGAAGATATTTGAAAAGACTAGAGATGAGCTGGACAGAATCATAAAATGTCACCAAAAAGTTCTTACAAGATTTGTTGCTTTAAGTTATTTTAAGTTTAAAATACTGCTTTTTTTGCATTGACTTTATTATAAGAAACAATGGTTTTAAAAAAGGTACTTTTAAAACAAATGAAGGGTATGGATAAAGAAGAAGTCGTATATGTTTATACTATGGAGTAGTACTCAGCTATAAAGAATGAGAACTTGCCATTTGCAACAACATGGATGGAGCTAGAGGGTAATATGCTAAGTGAAATAAGTCAGACAGAGCAAGACAAATACCAGATGATTTCACTTATTTGTGGAATCTAAAAAACAAATGAACAGACAAAAAAAAAAACCCAAAAAACCACCAGATTTTTAAATACAAAGAACAAACTGGTGGTTGCCAGAGGGGAGGGCATGGGAAGATGGGCGAAATAGGAGAAGGGGATTAAGAGGTATTAACTTCCAGTTATAAAATAAGTAAGTCATGGAGATGAAAAGTACAGCATAGGGAATAGAACAAACAAACAAAAAAGTGAAGGATAAAAGCATTTGGTGAGAGAATTCGGTGAATTAATATAAATGGTATATTAATTGTAAAAATGTTTTAATTTGTGTCTCGTGTATAGCCCAGCATAGCCGAGGACGGATTTGTTTGTAGAGGGTGTGAGCCATTGCTTTACAAGGTGTTTTATCCAGCTGTGCAAATATTTTGTTTTACTTTTGATATATAGGAAAATATATGGGATTATAATAAACTTCTCTGCAAATATGCACAATAATTTTATAGAAGTAAAATACTGATTTAATGAATTAAATCTTATCATAGTTCATCAGAAGTCCAAATAAGTTTTAAAGGAGTACATAAAAGGTAAGATAAATATGTTGATTTGATTCATGCCAACTTTTTTTTTCTTTTCCCCCCATTTTAGGGACCAGGTGCCCTACTGACTTTGCTGAGGTTCCGTCTGTTCTGATGGAGTACTTTGCAAATGACTATCGAGTGGTTACCCAGTTTGCCAGACATTATCAGACCGGGCAGGTAAGGGAGAGCACTACCGCGGTGTCGTCCTCTGCGTGATGGCGGTCAGCTTTCCTGGCCCGCCACGTAATGTGGAGCTCCTCAGAACTGTCACCCTCTCTCAGTGCCAGAATCCTTCCACCTTATTTTTATTTTATTTTATTTTTTTGCCAGCCAGTAGGATCACAGTGTTGACAGATAGCTGCTCTGTATTCTATGCTACGTCCTCGCCCATTTAGTCCTCACCACCATGCCCTGAGGGAAGCGCTTCGTTCCTGTTTTCCAGAGGGGAAATGAGCGGACTCTGTAGAACAGGCCTTCAAACCTGCCTCACTTCAAAAAAGCCAGTGGTCTTCCCTCTTTCGTTTATGCTTCTGAGTATTTGTTCTCTTGGTCTAAAATTTTCTGTTGTTTTGTAAAACTGAATGGCCTAGCCATATTTTCCCATCATGCCTTGCACAAGAGGTCTGAAAATTCCTCAGCTTTAGGGTTTCGATTTCAATAGTTGGATTTAGAGTGGAAGTTTAAAGATTTTAAAATTTTGTAAAGTAGGAAGACAATGAGAGATCTCTTATAACGAGTTAGCCGTAACCATGACTGTTGACATAGTGCAGTGTACTGTCCACATGTACTTTATGAAAGATCTTCTTTCCCTTCTCGGAGAACTGTGATTATATAATATCACATAGGTTAGTGTTTCCCCCCTTAGACAGTACCTCCTTGAGTGCAGGTGTGAAATTATAGTCATCTTTGGATCCTTAGCACTTAGAATCCCACAGCACATAAGAAGCGCTAAAAGAAATTATAAATGAAGGAATGATGGAGTCAGAAAAAGCACCAAACCCACCTTTTGTGTGACCCTTTTTCTAATGTGATTTGGTCATTTCTGATTTTGGGGCTTGATTTCATCTAACTGTTCTTGTCAACTGTAGAATAACAGAGGAGTTTCTGGCTAACTAATCTGACTGGGTCTTCATCATAATCTATCTCTGTTATTAAGGTGACAGAATTGAGATATTGGTGATCAATTGTCCAGGTGTCCATTAAACCGCAGAGATAACCCGGCCAATAACAGAAACACAAGCCATCGAATAATAGCACAAACTGCCCAGGGGTTCACATTTTGGGGTTTGGGAATGATCAGGAATACCTGATTAAGTCCCTCCTTTTGTGCTTGCTCCCCTGCCCCCCTGCATCTGTTGTAGGGGAGCAGAGCATGCCGCATGTTGGGGCAGAGCTACACCCACGGTGCACAGGACTGTGAAGGAGAGCCCTGTGAACTTTGCCGGGGGTGCCAGGAGAGGCTTCATGCAGGACATGCTGGAGGAGCCAGGTTTGGAAAAAATATGTAAAGGGGGCCAGTCAGCTCTCAGCGGCCTCTTTCCATCTCATTAAAATATAGTTATGGAGAACAAGAAGGACATACATACGTCCTTCAGTCAGGAAGTAGTTACTGAGTTTTTATTATGTACCAGGCACTGTTCTCAGCATCTGAGAAACAGCCAGGAGTAAATGAGACAACATTCTAACACTCAAGGTCTTTAAATCTCAGGGGAACTAAGACAGAGCTAAAGACAAGGTTATTCCAGCCAGAGGAAAAGCCTGTAAAGTCATGGAAAAATCTGAGACCATGGCAAGATACTGGTAGTGGCAAGAGCAGAAGGAGGAGAAAGGGGAGACAGAAAAAGACACTGGAATGTTCTAGTTTCTAGGATTCACTCCCAGTCTCTGCAGTCCTCTTGCCCCTACACACTTTTTAATCCCAGCTCATTTACTAGACCACCATTTGTGACTTGACTAATTTTTCTTGGCAGTGTTTACACTGAACCTTGCTATCACACTTCCTCTTGGGAGTTGTGTCTGGTCCTCCTGGCTCTCAAACAACTCTTCCCCAACCCATTTTCTTATTAGCCTTTGGCAGACAGCTTCCCTGGGTTCCATCTTTGAACTTGTGTCCTCGCGCAGCCCTGAGCAGGGCTTAAGTGAAGGCTTGCAAATATGTAGTGAAGCGATGGTGAGGGCCAGAATGAAGGCATTGGCTGTGGGGGGCCTGGAGAACCAGAGTTCAGGAGCTACTGGAGACTTCATTGGAAGGATTTGAGGCTAGTTGGATAAGAGAGGTGAGAGAGGGGAATCAAAGATGGATGCTCTATGAAGAGAGAATTCTGGAAGAGGTCCAAGTTTGAGGAAGGAAGACACATGGCTGTATCCATGGGGCCGTTAGTAATACAACTCTGAAATCCAGAATCAAATAGAACCTGCAACATATGGGGGTAATTGGCATAGAGTTGGCGGTTAAAGTATGGCCCGTGAGAGAAGCAGGAGGCATCTGAAGAAGCAGCATCACCAGGAAAGAAGCTGTCTGAGGAGCTTAGATTGCTAAGGGGATCTGAACAGTGAGGAGAACACATAGAGGTCAGAGTTACTAAGGAACGCGCCATGAGCCTCTCAAGAGTAATACTTAAAGCTAAAAAGTTAACTCTTGGCCTAAAGTCAGTTTTAAAAATGTTATCTATTTACAGAACAATCAAAAGAGCAAAGAAAGACAAGAGCCACTGCTTGGAGGATAGTGTAATGTCCCAAAAGAGGACAATTCTTATTTTATTATGGCATTCTTCCAGAAGAAGAGCCATTTTTGAACAAGAGAGTTTCAAGAAAACAATATTAAATCCAAAAATGCACTTCAAACTAAATGAAACAGGAAAGAAGCAGTAAGCTGCTTTGAATTAATTCAAGTTTCAGACTCACAAGCCATGTCCAGTGGGCTAAAGGGACTTGCAGACACAGTCTCTAAAGAATTTAAAATAATTTTGCGATCATATGGAGAACAGAAAGAGTGCCAGAAGGCAAGGAACGTGTAAATGCCTTGAGTTTCACAAAGGGCTTGCCTCTTCTTGTCACTAATTAAGATACCAAGTGGCTAGATGATTTCATTTTAAGGGCAGTTCTAGCCTTAAGGACAAGGAGTTAATTCCCTAAAATCCAAGGCTTTGTAAATAAATGACATTAAAGCCCATAAGAATAACAGGGTTGCATCTTTATGCTTCATTTCCTATTCTGCTACATATTAGGAAAGGATTTTTTTTTTCTCCATCATGTGGTATATTCCAGAGAACTCTCAGAGTAAGGATAATATATCAGTGACTTATTAACACCTACAAGTTTTTTATCTGAGCTAGAGCATGGCATAGCCAATGAATTCCTTGTGGTCAAGGAATGAGAAGTATGCTTATCAGATTTGCAGGGGCTGTACAGCTGTCAGAGATAACAAATGCCAGAGGTGCTCATTTCAGATTCAAAACTGTCTTGACAAGCTGCAACATCAAAGCTGAAGTGGAGTTTCTTGTCAGTTAATCTTAAAATTAATAACTCAAGTAGAGGAGGAGTACAGACTTGGTAGCGGCTCATGGCTACCAAGGTTTTTGGACATGGTAGACTGAACCTGAATCCACAGTCTGGTTTCCCCACCAGTCTCCTTACGGCTCAGGCTACGTTAAGGACCTGTGCCGTCTGAGGAACCGAAGGTTACTGTCTCACTTCTCTTCTTAGTGCTTCTTGCTTCCCACCTTGAGCTTAACCCCTTTCCAGTTGCTCCCAGTAAGTGGACAATTATCTGCAGGTGGCCCCACGCTTTTGGAAGCATGATTCTTATTCTCTCTTAAACATTGTAAGATGCAACTTATTTTTAGTTGTACTAAAAATATTGTAAAAGTTACCATCTGAACCATGTTTTAGTGTGCCAGTCAGTGGTATGAAGTACATTCTTATTTTTTGCTCCCATCCTCACCATCCATCTCTAGGACTCTCTTCATCTTACAAAACTGAAGTTCTGTCTCTGTTAAACAACTCCCCAGTTCTTCTCCCCTGGCCCCTGGCAACAAACTTTCTACCTTCTGTCTCTACGAATTCAACTACTCCAGGTACCTCGTATCAGTGGAATCCTGCAGTATTTGCCCTTTTGTAACTTGGCATAATGTTTTTAAGGCTCATCATGTTGTAGCCTCACTCAGAGTTTCCTTCTTTTTAAAGGCTGAATAACATTCCATTGAAATGCATAGGTTACATTTTGTGTCTCTTCATCCATTGATGGATGCTTGGGTTGCTTCCGCCTTTTGACTATTGTGAATAATGCTTCTGGGAACATGGGTTTAAAAATACCTGCTTGAGTCTCTGTTTTCAGTTCCTTTGCATATATACCAAGAAGTGAGATTGCTGGATCTTACAGAAATTCCATTTTCAATATTTTGAGGAACCACTCACTGTAGAGTTCTCCACAGTGGCTGCATCATTTTACATTCCTACTTTGTGCACTGTTGAGCACAGGTTCCAATTTCTCCACATCCTCGTCAACACTTGTTATTTTCTGATTTTTTGATAGTAGCCATCCTAATGGGCGTGAGGTAGTGTCTCATTGTGGTTTTGATTTTCATTTGCCTAATGACTAGTGATGTTGAACATCTTTTTATGCGCTTTTTGACCATTTGGATATCTTCAAAGAAGTGTCAGTTCAAGTCTTTTGCTCATATTATAATTGGGTTGTCTGCTTTTTTGGTTGGGGGTTGTAGGAGTTCTTTATGTATTCTTAATGTTAATCCCTTATCAGATATATGATTTGCAAGTATTTTCTCCCATTCTGTGGGTTGCCTTTTCAGTCTGTTGATTGTGTCCTTCAATGTACAGTTTTTTCTTTTGTTGGCTGTGCTTTTGGTGTCCTATCCATGAAATCATTGCCAGATGTGATGTTATGAAGCTTTTCCTGTATGTTTTTTTCTAAGAGTTTTATAGTTTTTAAGTCTTATGTTTAGGTCTTTGATTCATTTTGAGTTAATTTTAGTAGATGATACAACTTTTTTTTTCTTATTTTAGTAATTTTGAAACATTTCTTGTTAGCGATCTATTTATTTATTTAATGGCCCCCTCCCCATCTATTATAAAATCACAAGTATATATAATTTTTTCTTTTTTAACAATTATTGCATTCCTGGATTCAAGGAAATAAGATAGTCTTAGCCCCTATCCCA